AACTTTTGCATTCCAATTACCGGTAATTAGCAATGCATCATGATTGCATATTTGATCAATTGCAGCATGAAGAAATTGGTTGTTGTTGTTGTTAAGTGCTGTCTAGTCTAGTCGGTTCCGAACTACAGTGACCCTGTATAGGGTTTCCAAGGAGTGACTGGTGAGTTTAAACTGCCCACGTTGTGGTTCAAACTGACTTTGTGCCCCGATGCTTTAGCCCACAGCGCCATACCAGAATTCATCAATTTCACCATTACTGGCTTTAGTAGTTGATGCACAAATTTAAAAAACAGGGTCTTCCCTATAGGGATACAGGTATTATCCTATCACAGATAACACTGTATTTCAAGATAGAACTTGAAATGTTCTTTTTGATGATGAATGTGAAGTCATTTCTCTTCAAATTTTTGTTCCTGGCATAGTAAGCTATAGGATTGTCTGATTCAAAATGCTAAGCTATAGGATTTTCTGATTCAAAATACCATCAATTTCAACTCATTAATGCCTTGGATATCAATTGTAATGTGTTCCCTTTAATTTTTAATTCCCTTCTAATTTTCTCAGTTTTAGACTTCATACATTTTACATTTGATTACCAATCAAAGTTTGCAGTGATTTGTTCTCATCTTGAGTAATGCCCCATTGGCAAATGAAGGTCCTGAAAGTTTTGCTCCATCCATATCATTAAGGTCAACTCTACTTTGAGGGGTCAGCTCTTTAGCAGTTGTACTTTGAGTGCCTCTCCAACCCGAGGGGCTATCTTCTGACACTTCATCAGACAAGGTTTCATTACTATTGATAAGGTTTTTAGGGGTTAATTTATCAGAAGTGGACTGCCTAGTCCTTCTTCTTAGTATGTTCTTAGTTTGGAAGCTCCTCTGAAAGCTGTTCACCATGGGTGACCCTGCTCGTACAGCTTCCTGCATCACAGACATACACAAGCCCAAACCACATGATAAACTAACAGATGTGTGGCTACTGGAAAATAGGTTGGAGGGATTTGCACTAAGCCATCAAACTGAAACTTATGAGGGGGCTTCAAAATGCTCAAGGAAAAATGGAATTAAAAGATAATGGATTTTTTCCACAAACTTTCTGAAGCCCCTTCATATTTTGATTCTGGAAGCTATACTGCAGGTATTTTAAATACCAGCAGGGTCACCCATGGTGGACAGGTTTCAGATAAGCTTCCAGAAAAAGACAGACTAGAAGATGGACTACTTCTGAATATTTAGTGATTGAAAACCTTATATATAGCAGGGGAACATTGTCAAATATAGTGCCGGAAATGGAACCCCTCAGACTGGAAAGCACTCAAAATGTGCTTAGGGAAGAGCTTCCTCCTCAAAGTAGAGTGGACCATGATGATGTGAATGGAGTAAAGCCCTCGGGACCTTCCTTTGGGGCACAACTCAAAATGTGGAGAAACAGCTGCAAACATGCATTAATAATCAGAACATGGAATGTATGAAGTATGAATCTAGGAAAATTGGAAATTGTAAAAAATGAAATTAAACAATAAACATTGATATCCTAGGCATTAGTGAGCTGAAATGGCCTGGTATTGGACATTCTAAATCTGATAATCACATGGTTTACTTTGCTGTGAATGACAAATTGAAGAGAAATGGTGTCATATTCATCATCAAAAAGAACATATCAAGATCTGTCATGAAGTACAATGCTGTCTGTGACAGGATAATGTCCATACATCTACAAGGAAGACCAGTTAATACCACTATTATTCAAATTTACTCACCAACCACTAAAGCCAGTGATAACGAAATTGAAGAATTCTACCAACTTCTTCAGAATGAAATTGATCAAACATGCAATTAAGATGTACTGATAATTACTGGCAATTGGAATACAAAGGTTGGAAACAAAGAGGAAGGATCATGGTTGGAAAGTATGGCCTGGGTGATAGGAAAGATGCTAGATAGAGATCACATGATAGAATTTTGTAAGACCAATGATTTGTTCATTGCAAATACCTTTTTAAAACAACATAAAAGACTACTATACACACAGACCACACCAGATGGAATACACAGAAATCAAACTGACTACATCTGTGGAAAGAGATGGTGAAAACGCTCCATATCATCAGCCAAAACAAGGCTAGGGGCATTTTGTGGAACAGAGCATCAATTGTTCATATGCAAAATCAGGCTAAAGCAGAAGAAAATGAAAACAAGTCCACAAGAGCCAAAATATGACCTTGAATATATCCCACCTGAATTTAGAGATCATCTGAAGAACAGATTTGGTACATTAGACACTAAAGACCTAAGACCAGGAAAGTTGTGGGATGACATCAAGAACATCATACAGGAAGAAAGCAAAAGGTCATTAAGAAGACAAGAAGGAAGGAAAAGATAAAAATGCATGTCAGAAGAGACTTTGAAACTTGCTCCCAGCGTAGAGACGCTAAAGCAAATGGAAGAAATGAGGAGGTACAAGAGCTGAATAAAAAATTTCAAAGGTCAGCTCAAGAAGACAAAGTCAAATATTATAACAAAATGTACAAAGACCTGGAGTTAGAAAACCAAACGGGAAGAACACACTCAGCATTTCTAAAGCTGACAGAACTGAAGAAAAAATTCAAACCTCGACTTACAGTATTGAAGGATTCTCTAAGCAAATTATTGAATGATTCAGAAAGCATCAAAAGCTGGGAGGAATACCCACACAGGAAGGAAAGCACACAGAGTCACTGTACCAAAAAGAAATGGTTGATGTTCAACCATTTCAAGAGGTAGCATATGATCAAGAGCCAATGATACCGAAGGATGAAGTCCAAGGTGCATTGAAGGAATTGGCAAAGACCAAGGCACTGGGAACTGATGGAATACAAATTGAAATGTTTTAACAAAGTGAGGTGGCACTGGAGGCACTCACGCATCTACATCAAGAAATGTGGAAGACAACTAACTACGTGGTCGACTGACTGTAAGAGATCCATATTTGTACCCATTCCAAAGAGAAGACCCAACAGAATGTGGAAATCATTGGACAGTATCTTTGATATCCCATGCAAGTAAAGTTTTACTAAAGGTAATACAGAAATGGCTGCAACCATACATTGACAGAGAACTTCCAGAGATTCAAGCCAGAGTCAAAAGAGGACATGGAACAAGGGGTATCAATGCTTATGTCTGGTGGATCTTGGTTGAAAGCAGAGAATACCAGAAAGATGTGTACCTGTGCTTTATTGACTATGCAAAGGTTTTCGATGGTGTGGATCATGACAAGCTATAGACAACATTGCCAAGTATGAGTATTCCACAACACCTAATTGTGCTCATGACGAACCTGTACATCGAACAGAACAAGGGAATATTGAATGGTTTAAATTCACAAAAGGTGTGCACCAGGGCTGTATTCTCTTCACCATACTTACTCAATCGGTATGCTCAACAAATAATCCAGGAAGCTGGATTATATGAAGAAAAATGTGACATCAGGATTGGAGGAAGACTCATTAACAACCTGAGATACGCAGATGATACAACCTTGTTTACTGAAAGCGAAGATGACTTAAAATACTTACTGATGAAGCGCAAACACCACAGCCTTCAGTATGGGTTACACCTCAATGTAAAGAAAACAAAAATCCTCACTGTTGGCTCAATAAACAACATCCTTATCAGTGGAGCAAAGATTGAAGTTGTCAAAGACTTCATTTTGCTTGGATCAACCATCAACATTCATGGAAGCAGTAATCAAGAAATCAAACAACATATTGCATTAGGCAAATCTGCTGCACAAGACCTTTTTAAAGTGTTGAAGAGCAAAGATGTCAGTTTGAGGACTAAGGTGCGCCTGACCCAAGCTATGGTATTTTCAATAACCTCATATGGATGCGAAGGCTGGACAGTGAATAATAAGACAGTAGAAGAATTGATGTGCTTGAGTTACAGTGTTGGAGGAGACTACTGAACACAGAACAAACAGATCAGTGTTATAAGAAGTACAGCCACAGTGCTCCTTGGAGGCCAGGATGGCCAAACTTTGTCTCTCAAACTTCATACATATTGTCAGGAGGGATCAGTCACTGGAGAAGGATATCATGTCTAATAAGGTGGATGGTGGGAGAAAAAGTAGAGACCCTCATAGAGATGGACTGGCACAGTGGCAGCATCAGTGGACTCAAATGCAGCAACGATTGTGTGGTTAGCCCAGCACTGGGCAGTGCTTTGTTCCATTGTGCGTAGGGTTGCCATGAGTTGATACTGACCCGATGGCACCTATCAACAACAACAGTACGTTTTGAAGATAGTGGATAACCACTTCATATTTCTAAACATGAAAGAAATAATCAGAACTCCAAGTTACTGAAAGCAATATATATGAAAATGTGTTCTATATGGTTTGGATATTGAGAAATGGAGACAATGGTAAGATATGGATTTTAACAGCATAGGGCAAAAAAGAGCAACAGAGGCCTAGATGAGGGAAGTAGTGTTGGTTGGGAGAACAAAACAGACTGTAGAGGCATGATGAAGAGATTTAAAAATAATGATGCCAAGGTGTTCAGTCAAGGTATCTCTGAGGATGGTGGTTCTTTTAAAATATGAAAGAACTATGCAAAAAAGAGGAAATTTTGAGGAAGAAGATTAACTTAAGTTTAAATATCTTGAGTCTGAGGTGTTGTTAAGCCACTCAGGAGAAGGTATCTAAATGAAAATGAAAGGTAGTACTAGAACTCAACGAACATTGGACTGGATAGTCTAGACTTGAAAACCAGCAGAAAGCTGAGTACTTGAGCCTGTAGCAAGGGAGAGGTTGTCTAAGCCTGACGAGCAGCACACGGTTACACAAGGGCACAGGGCAGATCCTCTGGAGGCTTCTACAATTGCAGGCTGATAGAAGTGAGACAGTGGTCAGGGAGACAGGATGAAAATGAGGATGGCACTGTGGCATAGACATCAAGTAAAGAGCATGATCATACAGCTAGGAAATAAACTTGCAGCAGAAAGAGAGACAAAGTCACTTACCTTGTTGAAAAGATGAAGGTTAAAAGCATAAAGCTCAGCTGAATAGAAAATACTGAAGGAAAACAAACAAACAAAAATGATTGAAATTAGCACTGTAAAACCAGTATTTGTCACATATACTTACGGAAGCATTTCGTTTTACTTGAAACGGTTGCTATTCAGGTAGAAAAACAAACACAAAAACTTAACAGACATACATTTCTACACTGATGAAAGCATTTAAATTAGTAGAACTCCATCTGTTCTTACTGAAGATATCTTCAGACGTAATCTATGATACCTACTATTCAGGAAATATCTCAAGCCTAATTTGATTTGGTGTTTTAATTGGGTCAATTTAGAAAAAGCTGGTTTAAATTATAAATATTTATGGCAAACATCATAAATACTGTAGCATATAATAAATATTTTAGAATAACTCTTGATTTTAGTCACCAAATATTCACTATTAATAAAAGCTGTCTTTGATCTGATAATACAGAGAGATAGAGGTTGAATTCTGAGATGTAGCAGCTACCTACTTTTACTATCTTTTGTTTCTTAAAGTGAAATATTACTGTGAAAATATTTTAATAGTAAACAATGCTGTGAATATCCACATTTTAACGAATGCAACCAATTACCAGATTGATACAGCTAACAGCATTCTATTATAAGTCCTGCTTCTAGAAGGGTAAAGTCAGTTTAAAGTTATAATAAAATAACTTGGTGACAAAGTGATCAATCAAACATTTATATTTGACAGACATCAAGACTTCTCTGGTATCAAGTACTGTAAATCAAACAACAATGCATCAGGCATAAAAAGCATAGGCGATTAAGATCAGAATTTCACAACTAGCATCTTTTGAAAGAACAGACACACATGTGAAAGTTACTGGGGTTCAGTATAATATGAAATGAAGTATTCTTTGCTCTCCAAAGTAACGTTGGAAATGAATATAGAGCATACGGGTTGCTACCCACTGCTATTGAGGAGACTGAGGAATAGCAAGGATCTTCCAACTTACTTATAAACACTATGACAATAAGACTGAATTTATCCAGGTCAATATTTGGATTAGAGAACGTGTCACAGAATGTTGTGTAGATGATCATGAGGAGCACACTGCTGCTAACAGTCCCGAAAGGAGGTTTTCTTCTTTCAAGCCATTCCTTGATGTATCTTCGAACAATCTGAAATACAGAGATGAACAGGTTGCCTCTTTTCAGAGATGTAGGGAGCCAAAGTGGGCATCACAAAGTGATTCTGACAGCAGAAAGACAGAAAGGGAAGATAATCATTTGGATGATGGTCACAGTGGATTTCAAAGCTTCTCTGCCACACCACTCTTCTTCTGGGGAATTTAACATTTGTAGTCAACTTCCACTGGATGTCCATAATGAGAGTGTATTTTCAACTGCATTCAAACCCATCCTTAATCATGCCAAATGCTCTTTGCTAGCTGTCAATGAGACATGCCCATTAAGTCTCCCCAAAGTTTATCTCCTCTGCTGATCCTAAAGGATGTGTGTAATTATCACAGTCCCCTTTGCCTCCACAGACAATTCCAAGTACAACTTTGGGAATCTTAAAAATCTGACATCTTCAAGAATTTCTAGACAGTAGATAATCGAAAGTGATCCATGGAACATATTAATATTTAAAATGCTAGCAATGCACCAGAAGTTTTTAATTAAATTATAACTCATGCTTGAAAAGCAAAAGTGCATGTGTTGTGGGAGTTTAAATAATTCAAACTCTGAATAGCTCGAGTTTGTGTGAATCCAAAAACAAAAGCCATTTGCACGCTTTTAGAATCTCAGAATTAACACTTTAAAATGAATAAACCTGCCTTAACTTTCCTACAAAAGGATCAGTGGAACTGAAAGTTACATAGCAATCTTTTGTCTTAAAATCAAATCTGATCAATTTAAAACAGGGCAGTTTGAATATTAGTAATAATTTTAGCTTGAACCACTCTGCTTACAATCATCTTTCACTTTGGAAAGAAACTGAACAAGCCCTTTCATATGGACTATAGTTGAGACATTAAATTTTGAGTCACTCATTATGTTATATAATTGAACATGAGATTTCACAACAGGCTGAATTACCATGATCCATTAGCAATAATGAGGTCAGGGAACTTGTCCTGACAAGGCTGATGGGCTTCTGTTTTCTTCAAAATACTCTGTCATGAAAAAGGCTTAATTCATGATGGAGCAAACTCTTACATACACTCAGGTACAAAATAAACTGCTCTCAGTAGAATCTTTGAACAAATGGCTATTGGATCAACTTCTACCATTAGCAAGCACTCACTATGTGAAATAATAAAGTTGACAAAGGGAGTCTCAGTAGAAAGGTGACTGATTGTAAGAAGGAAAAGCTTGGAAGGTTGGGAGCGGTAGGAGTAAAACAAGAGAGTGTTATATCCTGAGTAGAGAGTATGTTAACTAGCCAAATAGTAGTTACAGCAATTTTTAAAGTAGATATTAAAAGTAAAGTTACCGTTGGATTGTTGTTAAGTTCCGTTGAGTCAGTTCTAACCCATAGCAACCCTAGGGTTTCCAAGGAGTGACTGGTGAGCTTGAACTGCTGGCCTTCTGGTTCAAACGACTGCAGTCTGGCGTATTAACCAACACCACCACACCAGGACTCTCTCTCTCTCTCTGTCTCTCTCTCTCTGTATATACATATGTGTTGTTGTTGTTGTTGTTAAGTGTCGTCGAGTCGATCCCGACCCATAGCGACCCTGAGTTGGGTTTCCGAAGAGCAAGTGGTGAGCTTGCACTACCAACCTTGCAGTTCAGATGGC